CACGCGCCACCATGCCCGGCTGATTTTTTGATTTATTGTAGAGATGAGGTGTTGCCAAGTTGCCCAGGTGGGTCTTGAACCTGTGGGCTCAGGCAATCCACTCACCTCAGCCTCCCAAGGCACGGGATTACAGGCTGAGCCACCGAGACCAGCTTGCAGTGTACCAAATTGCTTTCCTACTATCCGCACATGTGTATGTGGGGCTCTTCTAGACTTTTCATGTCTCTCCTATTTATGTTCGTGCTTTCGTGAAATACGGGAGTACATTATAGCTGTTTTAAATTTAATTGTGAGTTTCATCATCTGTCTTTCTAAGTCTGTGGCTATGGGTTACAGGGGTGATTTGAAGATGAGGAGAATGATAGCAATGTTACATTGTTGAACATGATGCAGTGGTTTACTCCTTAAATCCCAGCTACTTGGGAGGCTGAGGCAGGAGGATCTCTTGAGGCCAGGAGTTTGAGACAAGGTTGGAAGACATGGAGAGACCTTGTTTTCTAAAAAAAAAAAAAAAAAATTCTAGCCTGAGCAACTTGGCGAAACTGCATCTCTACAATAAATAAAAAAATCAGCCAGTTGTAGTAGCACATGTCTATAGTTCCAGCTGCTTGGAATGCTGAGGCAGAAGGATCACCCGAGCCCAGGTCGAGGCTGTGGTAACCGTGAGCATGCCACTGCACTCAGCCTGGGTGACTGAGTGAGACTTCGACCCAAACAAACAAAAAGACAAAAATTGATAAGATTGGGACTCTCACAGAAGTGCATTAATGGATGACTTTGATATATTTAGTAGGAGCTTTCAAAGTGTGGTCCTTGCTTTATTAGGAGAATGATAAATTGGTGGAGGTTGAAAATCTCTTCTGTAAAGGTCTAGAATAGATGCCAGTGACATTTAAGGAAATAGATGAGCTGATTGGAACTCTAGCATTTCAGTTAAGGTTTTCTCTTACACCATGAACCTGGAGTCTTCATTTGGCTTTTAGCTGCTTTCTTACTAAGGCCAGGTCAAGTCAGGAATGTGGTAGTTACTGCATGAGAAAACTTTAGGAAGTGGAAGGATAGCCGGGCGTGGTTCTTGTTACTTGGATGGCTGAGGCAGAAGGATCTCCTGAGCCCAGCAGGTTGAGCCTTCAGTGGCCGTAAGTGTGCCACTGCAGTCCAGCCTTGGTGACAGAGTGAGACTCCGCTAAAAAAAAAAAAAAAAAAAGGTGGAAGGAGGCATCATTGTGCCTTTTTATCTGTAGAGTGCATTGACCAGTTCTTTTTACCGCACCTTAAGGGTGTGACCTTGGACCAGTTACTGCATCTGTGTAAGCTTTAGTTTTCTTTAAAAAAATTTTCTTTTTTCTTCTTTTGAGTTGGAGTCTCACTCCATCACCCAGTCTGGAGTGCAGTGGCACACTCATAGCCACTCCGGTGTTGACCTGCTGGGCTCCGGCAATCCTTCCACCTCAGCCTTCCAAGTAGCCAGCACTGTAGACATGTGCTACCACGCCTGGGTAATTTTTTATTTATTGTAGAGACAAGGTCTTACCAAATAGCCTGGGCTGGTCTCGAACCTGTGGGCTCAGGCAGTCCACCTGCCTCAGCCTCCCAAAGCGCTGGGATGACAGACTGAGCCACCGAGCCAGACCAACTTTAGTTTTCTTAACAGCAAATTGGGATGATGGCACTGTGGCTGTAAATAAAGCATTAATTACTCATAGTAATTGCTCAGAGGTGATTGTTCTTAATTATTTTTAATATTATAGAAATAGAGGAAAGATATCACATATTGTGACGGTAATTCGTTGTTTCTGACTTAATGAATTGATGTTTGTGATTTGTTAAAATAATGAGACTACACAGTTAATAGACAGATTTTTAAATTATGGGGAGGGAAGATATTTTGAAATTAATCTGACCAACCCACAGTTGCCGAACACCAGCTCTGTGTCCTGGGCCTTTTGCTTTAGACCTAGCTCACACTGGTGGCCATGGTGTGCTGCCAGTCACGTCACGATGGCAGCATGAGAGCAGTGTGGGCGCTGCGGGAGGGCACAGAGCCCCACCTCAACCTGGAGTGCATGTGCCGCAGGAGAGGCTTTGCAGGAAGGATTACTGTCCTTGGATCTGAATCGAAAGGAACTTTGTGAGCAGTCAAGGGTAGAGGGTAGAGGTGCAGAAAGATAATTAAGGGAGAGCCACGCAGAGATCCCATGTCTGCTCCTTTTACACTTGACCATTTGTATTAGGGTTTTGCCATTAGGGAAATCCTGTGGTGCAAGTCGAAATGTGGAGTATTAGTTAAAGTGGTGGTCCTACCAAATGGTTGTTTTGACTTGTGTGTTTACATGTAAGGGGGAACCCACAAACCCCGGAATTCATTTATTAAAATATTGTGTATTTATTCTTAAATGTTTAAACTTCAGTCCCCTTCAAAGTCCTGATCAATACACCTATCGAGATGCTTTCTCCACTGCTCAAAACAGTTTTTTAACTCATCAGTTTTGATGCTTTTTAGTGCTTCTGATATTTTTGGGTTTCACTTCTTCCATATCAGCAAAAGGTTTCCCTTGGAGGACTGTTTTCATCCGAGGAAACAAAAAAAGTCACTGGGGGCGAGACTGGGTGAATAAGGAATGATGAGGCACAGGGGTCATGCCATTTTTTAGTCATAAACTGCCAAATACTTGTGTGATGTAGGCAAGTACATTGTCACAGTGGATGAACCAGTCACCTGTTTGCCACAACTCAGGATGTTTCTTTTGCAGATTGTGATGCAGCTGTCTCAAAACGTCCAGATAAAAACTTTGGTTGACCATCTGATCTAGAGGAACAAATTCTGAGTGTACTACAAGGGCCCTCCCTCCAAGAGATAATTCCAGTGTTTTTTGTGTCCCTGCTTGTATTTTTGTGATAGACCAAGTAGATGGAAGGCAGATTGAACACTTGCAAAATGAACAGTTTTTCTGGGTGTGCACTGGGGATTTGTTGTTGTTGTGGTTGTTGTGTGTGTTTTGAATTCCTGTTAACAGGTCAGCAGTGGCTGGGTTGATTTCATATTATTTAGATTCCAAGTTGGTGAAATAAGGTGATAGGGAAGAAAATTAGATATGCCAGTTTAAAGCTTTAGATCTTTTTTTCTTTTAAATTTTTATTTTAAAGATGTGGGGTACAGTTCAGGGTTAGGTATACAAATGGCCATTGTACAGGTAAAGTTTGGACCTCAGTTTGGTACCCACTTCACCTGGTTTGAGATCAGGCACCCTATTAACGAAGTGTCTCTCCCCACCCCCTCTGGCAGTTTCCCACTACTGCCAATTTCTTTCTTATAGTATTATGTTAATTGTTCAGGGTCTGCTTATGAGTGAGAACATGTGGTGCTCAGTTCTTTGTTTGAGTGATAGATCATTGAGGATTGTAGACTCTAAGTCCATCCAAGTTGCTATGAAGTTAGATCTTTTTTTCATATCTCTGTTAAATCAGAATCAAGTATTATTTACAACATCATTGTGCACTTCATGGCTGTGGAGTAAGAATGCTTGATATATTTTACCCTCAGTAACCTTAAATTCTTTTTGGATGCAGGGATAAAATAAACAGAATGTTGTTTGATCTTTGAGAATCTTAGAATGATTTTAAGTATTTATTTTGCAAATATAAGTGAACTAAGGACTTTTTTTTTTTTTTTTGAGTTATTGCAGCTCACTACAGCCTTGTCCTCGTGGGCTCAGCTGATTCTTCTGCCTCAACCTCCTGAGTAGCTGGTACTATAAGCATGCACCACTGTGTCTGGCTAATTTATTTTATTGTAGAGACAAGGTCTTGCTATATGTTGCCCAGGCTGGTCTCGAACGCCTCATCTCAAGTGGTCTTCCTGCCTTGGCCTCCCAAAGTGCTGGGATTATAGGCATGAGCCACCATGCCTGGCCAAGCTAAGGGCTATTATTTGGAGGGGGTTTAAAGACTATATATCTGATAAAATGCAAATTGAGAAGGGAGGCAACATAAATATAATTGACTAGAAAGTCATTAGCTTGTCTTTGCAAGATAATGCTTTTTAAAATCAAAGGAGAATATATTTAGAAAGTAGAATGTAGGATTAGCTATGCATGAAATGGGCATCCTCATTTTTAAAAAAGTCTCTGTCTCTTGCTTGCTCTCTCTTTTTTTTGTAAAGCAGACGTATAATTTTTTTCTCTTCTCAAGGCAGTTCTGGAGCTTTAGGTTGAAGGAATGTGACTATGAGCTGTGTTTATGCAATATGTATTTCCTTGTCATTGGTTCATACCTTTTAACTTGGTGATAGAATGCTTGACTCTTGCCAGATATGTGCAGTTGCAGGAGCTATACTTTTCCTTTGGGGAGGAGATGCTTGGCACTGTTGCTAGGGCGTATCTTGGCCATTGTAGCTGCTCAATATTTATGGAGTAAATAAATGCATTTGACTCTTTAATGCAATATCCACAATATAGCCTTTTAATGCAATATCCACAATAGCTGAAGCACTAATTTACTAAAATTGAAATATTAAAAGGTTTTTTCTTCTCCAAGGGGAAAGACATGTTAGTGGAATTAAGTAGTAATAATAATAATAACAGTAATAATAATAATTATTTTTTGAGTCAGGGTCTCACTCTGTCACCCAACCTGGAGTGCAGTGGTGCGATCCCAGCTCACCGTATCCTCAACCTCTTGGACTTAAGCAGTCATTCTGCCTCCGCCTCATGAGTAGCTGGGACTGCAGGTGCCTGCCACCACGCCTGGCTAAGTTTTGTTTTTTTGTAGAGACAAGATCTCACCACATTGTCCAGGCTGGTCTCGAACCCCTGGGCTCAGGTGATTCTGCTGGTTCGGCCTCCCAAAGTGCTGGGATGACAGGTGGGAGGTGCCGTTTCTGGCCACTGACTATTATTTACACATTACGGGTTTGACCATTCAGTGTTTTCTTCTGAGCTCTAAGCTCAAAACCTTTTTGTTGTCGTTCATATGTCCTGTCCTCTTTTCCTTTTGCAGGTATGGCCTCACAAGTCTTGGTATACCCGCCGTATGTTTATCAATCTCAGTCAAGTGCCTTTTGTAGTGTGAAGAAACTCAAAGCAGAGCCACGCAGTTGTGTGTTCCAGGAAAGAAGCTATCCCTGGACTTGTGTGAACGGTGGAGACTTGGGAAGTTCTTACCCACTCACGAAGGGTGGTGCTTTTCGGACAAAGCTACAGCTTAGCAGGCCTCGAGGACACCACAGCTTTTCGCTACAGACAAGTGCTGTCGTTGGGAAAACCGCTGCAGGTGCTACCAAGGTCCTGGCGGCCCCTCAGGCCGGGCCGGGGCGACCTCGGGTCCATTTCCTGGAGGGGCCGCAGCGATGTGGCTTGAAGCGCAAGAGTGAGGAGCTGGAGAGCCACAGCAGCGCGATGCAGATTGTTGACGAGCTGTCCATACTTCCTGCCATGTTGCAAGCCAACATGGGAAATCCAGTGACAGTGGTGACGACTGCCACGGGATCCAAGCAGAGTTGTACCACCGGAGAAGGTGACTACCAGCTGGTGCAGCACGAAGTCTTGTGCTCCATGAAAAATACTTACGAGGTCCTCGACTTTCTGGGTCGAGGCACCTTTGGCCAGGTCGTTAAATGCTGGAAAAGAGGGACAAGTGAAATTGTAGCTATTAAAATTCTGAAGAATCACCCTTCTTATGCACGCCAAGGTCAAATAGAAGTCAGCATATTAGCAAGGCTGAGCACCGAGAACGCCGATGAGTATAACTTTGTCCGGGCTTATGAGTGCTTTCAGCACCGTAACCATACTTGCTTAGTCTTTGAGATGCTGGAACAAAACTTGTATGACTTTCTGAAGCAAAATAAGTTCAGTCCCCTGCCACTGAAAGTGATCCGGCCCATTCTGCAGCAGGTGGCCACTGCACTGAAAAAGTTGAAAAGTCTGGGCTTAATTCACGCCGATCTTAAGCCAGAGAACATTATGTTGGTAGATCCCGTCCGGCAGCCGTACAGGGTGAAAGTGATCGACTTTGGGTCGGCCAGTCATGTGTCAAAGACTGTTTGCTCCACATACCTGCAGTCTCGGTACTACAGGTAGGTGGCAGCCACAGACGGTTGGGTTATTGAGCAGATGTCGAATTTCTGCTAAATGAAATAATTGTGTATGTGTCTTTGGTGAGAGAGACTGCTCAGTCAAATAAGGAGATCAAGACAAGATCAGCTTAGGTTTGAGTTTTTAAAAAGATTTTAAAAATCTGGGCATCAAATCTGCTTGAGCAGAATGGAAGTCTCCATTGCAGAGTTCCATGCCAAAGTCATCTGGTTATTGTTACTGTTAATAGAAGACATGAAGGAATGATGGGTGGTTGATAGTAATCAAACAGAAGTCCTTAGAGGTGGGACAAGTGTTTATTATTATTATTTTTGGAGGGGGAGTGTTTATTTACAGTAATTTTTGTATATTTATTTGGGCATTTCAGCACTCAAGAGAAATAGTTTATTAAAGACATAATCATATATAGCTGACCATTTAGAAAAATTGAGTTATCTCTTACCCATCGGTGTTGTAGGCTTCTGATTTTTCTGGCTGTTGGAATATTCGCATTACTGACTGCGTATTCCACATCTGAACATTTGAAATCTGAAAGACTCCAATGAGCATTTCCTTTGGGCATCATGCTGGCATTCAGGGAGTTCCAGGTTTTTGGATGTGGGATGCTCAACCTATGTAATAACCCAGAAAGTTCATGCTCATGTCATTAACTTAAAAATATTCAAAAAGGTATTCTGGTTTAAGATTTAAGATTCAGGTGCACTTCCCTGGCTTGAATGTTTAGATAACCCCTTCCTGACCAGTTTGACTGTGTTCTTCCCATATACATGGCTGTGGGTGATGCTGTTTTGGTGTTGGTGGGGGAAGGGTGGTATTTTTATTTTTAAAGATGTGGGTACAGTTCAGGATTAGTTATACAAGTGGACATCGTAAGGTAAAGTTTGGGCCTCCCTTTGGTTCCCACTTTGCCCGGTTTGAGATCAGGTACGCCTACTGATGTTTATGGGAGGAGGGAATTTAAAGACAGAAGTTTACCTGTAAGTATTGACTGACTGCTCCAGTGTCATGGTTGATATGACACCAGCTGGAAGTCCAGCAGACAATCTGTGGGCTGGCTAGTGATTGCCAGAACTTGGAATACAATACACTCAGTCTGGGGTGTGAAGGTGCTTTTGAATTCAGAGCTTTATAATTCTGAGAACATATATTTTGTTACATACTCTGAGTCCTTTGAGGCCCAACTTGACAGGCAAATATAGGATCTGCCAGTGTTGGTTATTCATAAGTTGCTCGATAGACGAAAACATGCAGTTTATTGTTAGAAATTGTTATAACAGGCGACTGTAAATTTAGATCCATCGAGGGGCGTTTTCTGGTCTTGCATGTTTGCTTACACTATACCTGAGTACCTGTCCTGGAATTATAAGTCGAAGTAAACAGCACAGAATGATGGAGAATTAATCAACTGCTACAGCTCTGGGTAGATGCCCTGCCATCAGCAGGTCACCAGAAGGAATGGCACATTTATGTTACTCAGTGATCATTAAATTTATTAAATATGTGTTAGGAATTAGGCATATAGCCTAATTTACATTGTGTGTGTGTGTGTGTGTTTTTAGAGACACGGGTCTTAATGTTGCCCAGGCTGGAGTGTAGTGGTATTATCATAGCTGCAGCCTTGACCTCCTGGGCTCAGCCTCCTGAGTAGCTGAGACTACAGCTGTGCACCATCATTCCTGGTTAATTATTTCTGTAGAGATGGGGGTCTCACCATGTTGCCCAGGCTGTTCTTGAACTCCAGACTCCCCGTCTCAAGTGATCCTGCTGCCTTGGCCTCCCAAAGTGCTGGGATTACAGGTATGAGCCACCATGCCTGACCCTCACGAACTGTGGTTTTAGAACCATGTTAATGTTCCACATAGGGAAATCAACAACAAGGACATGGGAGACCCAACATGGAATATCAATAGAAACAAATAACTATATTTTAAATATCACTTTGAAGGTGGGAGAGAGGGAGTCTAGGGAAGAACTAACCTAAGTAACTTTGGAACCCAGTATCTCCATGGCCTACTCCAACTCTGAGGCTATATGCAAATGCTGTGTGCTCCAGTTGTTAGATCAGCAGCAGCGTGAGCGAGCACTTCACAGGTCCTTTAAGTACATTCTGGAACTGAGCGGCTAAGTAGCATGCCGTGGACAACGAGAGTTTGATTCTTGGTGTCAGAGAGGGGATTGCCATAAAGGAAGAAAGAGACTGGACTTTCAGGTCTCAGAATTGGACATATCGATATGAGTGCATTATTTTAACATCAAACAGATAGAAATACACACACAAATACATCAGTACAGGCATGCCTCAGAGACATTTTAGGTTTAGTTCAGCTCTAGACCACCACAGTCAAGTGAAGACCTCAGTAAAGTAAGTCACACACATTTTTTAGTTACCCAGTGCATATAAAAGTTGTTTACACTATACTGCAGTCTGTTAAGTGTGCAGTAGTGGTACATCTAAAAAAAAGTATGCATGTTAATTTGAAAAGAATGTATTGCTAAAAATGCGAGTGATCTTCTGAACCTTCAGGAAGTTGTCATCTTGTTGCTGGGGGAGGCTTGCCTCAGTGTGGAGGGCTGTTGAAGGTTGGGGCTGTGACAGTTTCTCAAAATAAGGTAACAGTCAACTTTGATGCACTAATTTGTCTTTCCCTGAAGACTTCTCTGTAGCATGTGATGCTGTTTGATAGTGTTTTACCCATAGTAGAACTTCTTTCCGAGTCCATCTTCACAAACCCTGCTGCTGCTCTACCAACTAAGTCTATGTTACATTCTGGATCCTCTGTTGTCATTTCAACAGTGTTCACAGTGTCTTTACCAGAAGCAGATTCCGTCTCAAGAAACCACTGTCTTTGCCCACCCATGCGCAGCAGCTCCTCACCCAGTCAAGTTTCTTGGTGAGCTGCGGTTCAGTGCCATCTCCAAGTTCCGCTTCTAACCCTTGTTCTCTTGCTGTTTCTGCCTCATCTGCAACTCCTTCCTCCACTGAGGTCTTGAACCCTCACAGTTGTCCGTGAGGGCTGGAGTCAATGTCTGCCAGACTCCTGTTCAGACTGATATTTTGGCCTCCTCCCATGAATCACAAATGTTCTTTATGGCGTCTAGAATAATGCATCCTTTTCAGAAGGATTTCAATTTACATTGCCCAGATCCATCAGCTGAATCCCTATCCATGGAGGTGTAGCACTATGAAATGTATTTCTTAAATAACAAGACTTGTAAGTTGAAATGAATTTTTGATCCATGGACTATAGAGTGGATGTTGTGTTAGCAGACATGAAAGCAACATTAATCTCCTTGTGTCTCTGACAGAGTTCTTGGGTAACTAGGTGCTTTCTTAATGAGCAATAATGTTTGGAATCTTTTTCTGAGCAGTGGGTCTCAACAGTAGGGTCAAAATATTTAGTAAACCATGCTGTAAACAGACATACTGTCATCCAGGCTTTGCTGTTCTATTTCTAGAGCACAGGCAGATAGATTTCTCATGCTTCTGAAGGGCTCCAAGATTTTTGGAATGGTCTATGAGCATTAGCCACAACTTAGAGTCTGACTGTGTTAGCCACTAATGGAAAAGTCAGCCAGCTTTTGGAAGCCCTGAAACCAGGCATTGACTTCTCCTCTCTAGCTATGAAAGTTCTGGATGGCACCTACCATTAGAAAGCTGTTTTGTATACCCTGAAATCTGTTGTTGAGTGTAGCCCCTTCATCAGTGGTCTCAGCTGGATCTTCTGGAGAGCTCGCTGCAGCCTCTCTGTCGGCACGTGCTGCTTCTCTGCACTTTGATGTTATAGAGACAGCTTCTTCCCTTAAACCTCACGAACCAGCCTCTGCCAGCTTCCAGCGTTTCTTCTGCAGTTCTCTCACTTCTCTCGGCCTTCACAGAGTTGAAGAGAGTCAGGACCTTACCCTGGGTTAGGCTTTGGCTCGAGGGAATGTTGTGGCTGGTTTGATCTTCTATCCAGACCACTCACACTTTCTCCACATCAGCAGCAAGACTGCTTCTCTTTCCTGTCTGTCATTTGTGTGTTTATTAGTGTAGCCCCTTCAGCTTCCTCCCTGTTTCCTCCGAGTTCAGGCCTGGCTTTGGGCCTTTAGCATGCTTTCCTCATTGCATTGAGTAATTTCTAGCTTTTGACATGAAGTGAGAGGCCGCAGCTCTTCCTTTCACTTGAGCACTGAGAAGCCTCTGCAGGGTTGTCAGTTGGCCTGATTTAAATATGTTTGTGTCTCAGAGAATGGGAGCACCCAGGGGAGGGAGAGAGAGACAGGGAACAGTTGCTTGTTGGAGCAGTAGAAACTCACACATTTATCGATGAAGTTCAACATTCGACATATCGATTTATCAACATTTATCAATGAAGTTCATTAGTTGGTGGTGCCCCACAACCATGGCAATAGCGTCATCAAAGATCACTGATCGCAGATCATCATGGCACGTGACAATAAGGAAGGACTGCAATATTGTGAGAAGCTGGGCATGGTGGTTCATGCCTGTCATCCCAGCAATTTGGGGGGCTGAGGCGAGAGGATTGCCTGAGCCCAGGGGTTTAAGACCAGCCTGAACAACTTGGCGAGACCTTGTCTCCACAATAAATAAAAAAAGTTAGCTGGGCATAGTGGTGCACACTTGTAGTTCCAGCTACTTGAAAGGCTGAGGCGGAAGGATTGCTGGAGCCCAGTGGGTTGACACTGGGGTGGCCGTGAGCATGCCACTGCACTCCAGCCTGGGTGACAGTGTGAGGCTCTGACTCAAAAAAAGAAATATTGTGAGAGTTATCACAGTGTGACCTGAGCTGAGCACTGGCTGTTGGACAGTGGTGCCCGACGGGCTTCGTGGACGCCGGGGCCATACCTTCAGTTTGTAATAAGCTCGTGTCTGTGAAGCACACCAAAATGAGGTGTGCTGTGCATTTGTTAGCTTTGCAGCTTAAAACAGTCATACCCTCACACCAGCAAGCATGCTGGGCACGAGCGTCAGGTCATGTGT